CCCAGCTATGGGTAAATAGCTGACCCCACAACACTGACTCAAAACAATATGAAAGCGTAAGAATAGATTTTAATACCAGAAATACTTTTTTAAAAAATTAGTATCAGCAATAAATATTTGAAAAAAGAAAATATTACCAGAAATAAAAATCTTGTCAGCATTAAATAAAACATTGAAGTTAATATGCCACAAAACAAACCAAACTATACATTTTCTAAAAAAAATATTACCAGCTATACATTTTGGGTTGATATACCGTAAAACAAACCAAACCAAAAGACATATTCTGCTTCCTGTTCACTTCTGAGAGTTTTACATTCGTAAATCGCATTTCGATATAAAAAAAAAAGAACTGGTATGACTAGACGGGGGTGGTGACGACAGTTTGCAACAAGCAGCAAGTTTTGACTGACGGCATTTAGATGAATTTATATAATGAAGTAACATATGCAGTTAGTTATACCAATTTCCTCTCATTCCATCAAATAGATTTTGAAGCGTTTCTAGATTTGGTAAAGAGGAAAGCCAGAAAAGTAACTTTTAAAATTACCATGTTTATTATTTTTTTGTTCTATTTTCTAATCTCCAGTTTTAAAATATTGTTTGGACTGGTGACAAATTCAAAAATCGCCCATTGTGGCACAAACCATACGTGCACCAATTGTATATAAATGACAATTTTTGTACTTTAATTTTGGACGTTACATTTTTTTTTTTTTTTTGTGATAAGTAGTTTTATTACAATTTATCCTGAGTGGTTATTATGCTACTTTGCCGCATAAACAAAACATTTTGAGAATATTTATTGCAATTTTTATTGCAATAGAATCTGCAGAATTGGAAATGATTGATTTTTAAAGTTTCAATCGTTAATATTACATGTTAGCGTATGATACGGAATACATTGCGAGGAAACTTGTTATATATACACATCCATAGATAGATAGATAGATAGATAGATAGAAATGAAAAGATTGAGATAGATAAAAAGATATTAAGAGATTAAGATAGATAGATAGATAGATAGATAGATAGAAACAAGATGAGATAGATAGATAGATATAAAAAGATTGAGAAAAGGATATTAAAAGATTGAGTTAGATATGAAAAAATTGAGATAGATGTAAAGTTATTAAAAGATTGTGATAGATAGATAGATAGATAGATAGATAGATAGATAGATATGAAAAGATTGAGATAGATATAAAGATATTAAAAGATTAAGAAGATTGCGATAGATAGATAGATAGATAGATAGATAGATAGATATGAAAATATTTAGATAGATAGATATGAAAATATTGAGATAGATAAATAGATATGAAAAAATTTAGATAGATAGATAGATAGATGCATAGATGCATATAAATGCATCTATGTATCTATCATGTGCATTTATACATCTATCTCTCTGTCTATCTATCTGTCTATCTATCATTTATAAGCTGTACCTGTGGAGTTGTATAATTATTGTTTATACGTTCATGGATGTGTTGCGATAGATAGATATTTGCTTGTGCATGCAATTTTCACAATTTTAACCGAATATATATTTTTATGCGTGCGGGATGCGTTCATAGTTGCTATTTCCATATCCGATGCAAAACGACACATCTTGTCTGTCAAAAATCGAACTCGTTAGCCAGAAAGCGGAAATATATTTTCACCGAATATATTTTTCCAGGCAATGCAAAAGGGGAACAAATAATGTAGCTTTGAAATCAATAATACATTTATTTAGTCTTTGGGTCTTTCTTTTTTTTTTCTTTTTTTTTTTCTTGGATGGGGGTCCATGTACCTTTTATTTTCATTTAACGCACGTAAATGATTTTTTTTTCTATTTTCTGTTTCCTTTTCTGGTTCTTTTTTCGTTTTCGGCTAACGAAAACATTTCAGGAAAGTAAATTAGGCCCGTATTTCGTTTCATTTCATTTTTTTTCAGCAATTTTTGTTTTCTCCGTTTGTCCGTTTCTGTTTTTAGGTAAACCCTTGGAAGAAAATTAAAAAAGAAGAAAATATGGGCGTTCGTCGCTTCGTACTTTTTGCATTGCTTTATCAAATTTTCTCTATTTTATTACTTCTTAATTGAATCCAACTTATGAAGATGCTGCATAGAAGGAATCAGATCATTTTTTTCATGCTTTTAAAAAAAAGTTATGCTCTTTACCTTTTTTTAATATTTAATATTTTATATCTGTTTTCTTTTCCTCGTCGATTTTATTTATAACCTTGTGTTTATTTTTTAAAATATTTTATAACAGTTCTATCCGATGATTGTTCCTATGTATCAAGTGGCAGCAAGTATCTTAAATATTCTTTGTCGTCTCAGTAATCCTGTTGTTTTTTAAGGTTTTGATTTGTCCATGCACAAAGACGTTCATTCCAACTTCGATTGCTTTTTGGTGCCATTTGACTGAGTTCCTGGTTTTACCCATTTCCTCTATCCCAAAAAATGTGTAAGAAAGAAAGAAAGAAAAAAAAGAAAGAAAGAAAGAAAGAAAAAAGAAAGAAAGAAAGAAAGAAAGAAAGAAAGAAAGAAAAAAGAAAGAAAGAAAGAAAGAAAGAAAGAAAGAAAGAAAGAAAGAAAGAAAAAAGAAAGAAAGAAAGAAAGAAAGAAAGAAAGAAAGAAAGAAAGAAAGAAAGAAAGAAAGAAAGAAAGAAAGAAAGAAAGAAAGAAAGAAAGAAAGAAAGAAAGAAAGAAAGAAAGAAAGAAAGAAAGAAAGAAAGAAAGAAAGAAAGAAAGAAAGAAAGAAAGAAAGAAAGAAAGAAAGAAGGAAAGAAAGAAAGAAAGAAAAAAGAAAGAAAGAAAGAAAGAAAGAAAGAAAGAAATAAGAAAGAAAGAAAAAAGAAAAAGGAAGAAAGAAAGAAAGAAAGAAAGAAAAAAGAAAAAGAAAGAAAGAAAGAAAAAAGAAAAAAGAAAAAGAAAGAAAGAAAGAAAGAAAAAAGAAAGAAAGAAAGAAAGAAAGAAAGAAAGAAAGAAAGAAAGAAAGAAAAAAGAAAGAAAGAAATAAAAAAGAAAGAAAGAAAGAAAGAAAGAAAGAAAAAAGAAAGAAAGAAAGAAAGAAAGAAAGAAAGAAAAGAAAGAAAGAAAGAAAGAAAAAAGAAAGAAAGAAAGAAAGAAAGAAAGAAAAGAAAGAAAGAAAGAAAGTAAGAAAGAAAGAAAGAAAGAAAGAAAGAAAGCAAAAAAGAAAGAAAGAAAAGAAAGAAAGAAAGAAAGAAAGAAAAAGAAAGAAAGAAAGAAAGCAAAGAAAAAAGAAAAAGAAAAAAGATAAAAAAAGAAAAAAAGAAAGAAAGAAAAAAAGAAAAAAGAAAGAAAGAAAGAAAGAAAGAAAAAAGAAAGAAAAGAATGAAAGAAAAAAGAAAGAAAGAAAGAATGAAAGAAAAAAAAAGAAAAGAACCCAAAAATCCCAAATCCCAAAAAAAAAAAAAAAAATGAATGAAACTAAAAGAAAAAAAAAAAATAAAAAAAAGTGTAAAAAAGATGAAAAAAAGAAAATGAATGAATGAATGAAATTACTTAACTTTAAAGGGAAAGGTGACAAAAAGTTATTATGTTTCTAACATTTGATTAGATATTGTTTTTCATTTTTTTCTTTTTTTATAGACATTTAGACTTAAGCCAATCTCATTACCGAACTTTCTATTGATCCGAGCATGAATTATGCCCCCTGAAGCGAACTCTTCAATTCTAGAACATAGAGTCGCTCATGACCCTTGAAATTCTGGTCGAATTATTATCTTTGAGAAAAGAGACAGAAAAAAAAAATCATATTTTCTATGAACTAAAATGGTGCCCGGAAGGTGAGAACATTTCAAGGTGGTGCCATAATGTCTACAACCGAAAATTTTCTTTTTTTCATTATGGGCCCATCTTTCCTTCAGGATTGATCAGATTCTTGCGACCTGAGAGTTGCTGAAATTATTAGAAAGATAATTAGCACCTGAACATGTTCTAAAAGCTCTGAATGTCAAAGTCGTTTTGCTACAAGGAAAGAAAGAAAAACAGGAAAAAAAAGGAAGAAAGCATTAAAACAAATTTAAATTGTAAACAATCACTATTACAGATTCAGTATATAAGGTAACCATATGTTTTTTTTGTTTTATTTACTATTGTTCAGCTAAAACAAGGCTCAAGAGCCACTCAAAGTAGGTGCTATTGAAAATGTAAAAATTGTAAGGGCGTAAAGAACAGGAGCAAGGCGTGCATATTATAAGCATACGTAGGATAGATAACCGTTCACCTTCGACTTGAAGAGTTTAACATTGTAGTTATTGGGGAAGCAACTTCTCTCGGGAGTTCATTCTGCAATGCGACAGTTGTGAAACTGTCTGAGTGGAGTTTGCAGGAAATAAGGAAGAATCGAGTCCGTGTACTTGGCTTGGGGACGCTAACTCTGTAGGTCTGAACTGATGAAACCCAGAATGTAGCTGATCTGAACTTTTGCCATTAGCAATAGAGTAGACAAGCGATTGATTCGTTTTCTACGGTTTATCAACCCTTTGCAGGTTATTTAAAGCCAGAAAATACTTTTAAATTGTGTTATGCTGTAGAACCATAGAAGATAATACGGACTCGGATATAAGGTTCAATAGTATATTCTCGGAAACGTAGTACAAAGGTAAATGTGGACTGGAGAGTACTTTCTCTGACTGGTGTCCTCACTCACTCACTCACTCACTCACGCACTCACTCACTCACTCACTCGGTGTCTCTACTCGGTGACTCTCACTTGGTGACTTCCTCTATTCAGAGTTGGTAGCCATATTATATAGGTGTGGAAGAGTCCATTTGTAGATAGGTCCCTACAAATTGTAATTTTTTCTGCGATAATAATGATAATAAAGATTTATTAATACAAGTCTTACTAATTAACCCATAGCTGGGGACAAACGAGGTGTATTTGCGCGTAAGTGAATATAACGTACCCAACTATAACTGGAACTCTGCTCACCAATTAATAATTCTGAGCCATTATCCATTGCACCACACGCACATCCAGCTTGCAGCATCTGGTATTCCCCAGCGGTCACCCATTTAGATACTAATCACGCTCAGCGTTGCTTAACTTACGGGAACTGGTGTTTCAACGTGATATAGCTGTAATTCCAGTAGAGTAGCGAAAGGTTAGCAACTTGGGAAAAAGGTTTTAAGATGGAAATTAATTCATCGCCCACGAAGACGATTTAAACACTTCAGCGCATGTTGAAGATTTGAAATCACAAGGATTTCTAGTTTTCGTTCATGTCGAAAAAAAAAACTCTGATGATGATAGGAGACGAATTAACTCGTCCAGTGTCTGGATTTTCATCTTTTTATAAATTCGCGTAAGACTATATTTTGTCTGTGTGTCTACACCTTACGAAGGTCGGCTAGAAAATTCTTAAGCTGACCAAAATATAACTGTAAGTAGGCACACTAGTTAGTAGCTTAAAAGATATGCAAGTTTACCAGCATATCAACTTTTCAGCCGACCCTCATCCACCTTCTTCTATGTCCCCTCAGGATGTAGGCGATGATGGCTCGCCACAACTCCCTGTCCCTTGTAGCTTTTAATAAATTTTGTTATTTCCCTAAAACTTGTTCCGCCATCCATTTAATCAAATTCCCTAAGTTATGCATTGTCTTCCTCTTTCCCTCTTGCCTTCAATCTGTCATGTGAGTATCAAATTTTCCAAACCCTCTTTCCTCATTATGTACCTTAAAAATTTCAACTCTCTCTTCCTAAGTCTAAGTTTTCTTCTTGTTTCCATTTTCCCTAAAACTTCGTTGTTGCTCACGTATTTAGTCCATGGTGTTCTCAGCATCCTTCTGTAGAAACACATTTCAGTCCATAGTATTCTCAGCATCCTCCTGTAGAACAGACAGTGAATATTGGACACGCTCCGTGTTGAGAGATTGTCCAGCATCAACTGCTGTTGGTATCAGTCTACTCAGGTGTTTGTTCCTATCTGAGTGCCAGGATTCCAGATATTTAACAACGCCAACACATCTTTTAAAAGAAACATATACATGTTATTTTCTGGATGAAAAGTAAAAACAGAACGTCAGTTAAAATGACATTTATATATTCTTTTCATAAATATACAATAGTAATAAAATGTACAATTTTCCTTGCAACGAAGTTTGCTTTATAAATTAAGTGTTCTTATTACACTATTTACATTATTCGGTCTATTGTCCTCATCTTTGTCGACATATTTATTACAACGTTTCGGCCGTTGTACGCTCCGGTCGTCTTCAGGTGGTTGGAATGTCGAACTGAACCCTTTATTTCACTCCCTGGGGTAGACTGTTCTAATTCCACGTGCCATGTTTAATGGATGCCAGTTATCAGTTATCTCCTGTTAATTCCCCTCTCCAAGTTCTCCACCGCCTTAACCAGGTATTGAACTCACACTCTTTGGGTCCTATCACTGGAGCTAACCAACGCTTTTATCCACTGTCGATAAAGGGGTTGGTTAGATCCAGAACTCATTTTATATTATAAAAAATAATAAAATAACCGTAATCTTGGCTTCTAAAAATAACTTTTATAACAATTTTTAGCGTCGCAGGTATAACGATAAACTACATCCGGCAGCATGACCTCTGACCAGGAGGTTTTGATGAGCGTGGAACCACCTCTAAATTACTGATGCCCACAGGTTCACCCTGAACTTGGTGGTAGCACCTGTTAGGGTTCCAGCTATGGGCAAATAGTTAACATCCAAACTGGGGTGAAAACACTCTGAAAGTTTAAAAATAGGTTTTAATACCAGCAATACAGTTTTGGAAAAAAATTATTACCGACGATACATTTAAAAAAAATGCCAGCAATAAAAATCTTGTTGGTATTAAATAACCCATCGAATCGGACATAAAGTAAATAATTTTAAAAATTTTTTATAGAATTCTATAATTTTTAGGCCTCGCAATATTATTTCCTACAGATTTTACTTACGACAAATGAACCGAGCTGAACCCGACAAAATAATTACTGAATTATCTAAATAATTCAAAATAATCTGTTTAATTAAAAACTAAACCGAATTATTTAAACAAGTGATAAATAGTAAGTTTTCCCCCTGCATCTTCTTCCCCTTCCTCTTCCTTCTCCTCCTGATCGTCTTCTTCTTCTGCCAACAACAAGCATTAGAAAATTATTCAAATGTTTCTCTCATGGTCTGCTCAGTGTGGCTCTCTCGGTTATTTTTTTAGGTTTCTATGGCTTATCAGCTTTTCTCTCGATTAGAAAATTCAAATTATCTTAGCAGAATGACAAAAAGAACTCTCGAAAATACGTCTTACCGAAAAATGTTGTTGATACAGACATTTTAGCGGTAAGAGAATTTCTAAGACAACTTTTTCTGACAAGATGGGCTTTCAGATTTTTCAATAAAATGATTAACAAAGCGTACAAACGAGATTCTTTGCAATAGAATCATTATTTCTTTTTCTTTTAACCGAAGAGTCAATATTACCTTACAATTAACTATGATAACGCAGTCATTACTTCTTTAGAAAATTATTTTCTTTGCGTTGAGATACGAAACTGAGAAAATATGATAATTTCGAGGAATCTATGGTGAAAGGAGTTCGCTTAAAAACACTGTTCAGACATTGCTTGATCGGCAAAGCTTCACGTCTAATCTAACGACAATTTCAATCTGCACAGAAGTTCTCCCGGAGAGCGCATATTTTTCTTTCATATACAGGCGGATAAACGAATATAAATATACTGTTTAATAAATAAAAATATCGTTTATCAAATATGGGTATCCATTATAAGTAACTTATAAAGTGACAAAAGGCTATAATCCTTTACCAAACATTCCAAGAAATAGCACTCAAAATAAACTTTTCCAAAACAGAAACAAAGAACTGGAATTGGAATGAAAACAGTAATGGCACCTATCCTGAATCCATTACAAAAATACAGGATGTGGAATTATTAAATAACAACACTTCAAATAGCTCGGTGATAAGAAATTTAGTATAGGAGATAAGGAAATTTTAAATAGAATACGCTGCGCTCGAGTTAGTGGCCATTAAAACCGCAATACAGAAACCGAAACCTGAACCTGAAAACTCGAGCCATGTTCTTAAATAGCCTCCTCAAACAGACACTTTTATATGGTTAGCATCTATGACATTAACTCGGTTCAGAAATATCTCAAGTGTCAGCTCTATACTGCTTTTATTCTAAGATCAATGGTTAAAAATGGCTTTAAGCGAGCGAAGGCCACACTTCTTTGAATATTGTTCACTGGGGCTAGAGAATCACAAACAAAGAATTGCACCAGATAAGAGAAGGCACATTACTATGAGTGAATGAAGCCTGTAGGTCTTTTTGCATACCAAACGTCTTCAAACTTTGTGGATAGGATCTTAGATAACAAATGGAGGACTTTCAACAGCAGCAACAACTAAAATGGATAGCACATGTAACTTGAAGAGAAAATAATGATATAATCAAAATGTTGACATTCCACACTAATTCAAACAAAAGGTTAGGAAAGAAAACTCTCGTCATTATGGGAAAGAACATTAACCGCTACTGAACTTGAGACACTTATTCTCATTTAAAATTGTTTTAAGGGACAGATTTTATAAATTTCAACAGGCATTGGTACTCAGTGTTTGGTTAATGAATGTCGAATGTTTTCTTATAAGGAAAGGGCAATTATTAGCATTTCCATTACGATAAGAGTCAAGGATTTTGCTGTTATTGCTAGGGTACGAAGAAGTGTAGTTTGACAGATGTTAACTCAGTATTTTCTCAGTTACTGTGGTTTGAGATATTTTGTCAAAGAATCTACGGATGCGATAAAACAAAATTTAGAAGAGTATTCAGGATTTTCAGCGGTTTTGATTTCTCTGGCTGTGACGAGGTCTTCAATCATGAATGACAGACAATTTGACAATACCAAAGAAGTGGATGTTAGTTTGACCTCTTCTTATTAGTGTTCTTATTCTTCTTCTATGTGATCATGGCTCTCCACAATTTCCTATCTTTTTTAGCTCTGAATAAATTTGATCTTTTTGCTATCAATCCTCAGCTCTCTTCCGCTATCCATTCACTCGAGCTCGCCAGATAGGTTATGTCTTACTTTCTTTTGTCTCTCTTACCTTCAATCTGTACCATGAGTATCAAATTTTCCAAGCCTCTTTTCCCATTATATGCCATAGAAATTTCAACTGTATCTTCCTAATGTTAAATATAAGTGCCATTTTTGCTGTGATTGCCTCTAGAACTTCGTCGTTGCTCACAAGTTCTGTTCATGGTATTTTCAGTATCCTTCTGTAGGAGCACATCTCTGTTGCTTCAGTCTCTTCATCTGTATCCAACATTCACTGCCATATCAGAAAGACTAATTTTACATGAGAGTTTAGCACCCTTTTTTTGTTTCTAAGTATATTTTCATTTTTCTTAATACCTTGCTTAGCTTTCGGAATGCGCCTTCGGATTCCAATGTCATATCTTTCGTACTCTGTTATAACGCTTCCCAGATATCTAAATTGTTGTACTTGTTTGATTTTGGCATCTCCAATATGTAATTTGCATGTTGGTCTGTTCCCTTTTGCTAACAACCATGCATTCCGTCTTCTTGCAATTGATGTTTAGTTCTTTCTTCTAGTTTTCCTTCACTGCCTTCTGTAGGAATTCTTTTAGTTTCCTTTCTGTATCTGTTATCAATACTGGCTCATCTGCCTATCTTATGTTGTTAAGATTGTGGCTGGCAATAATGAATCCTGATAGGACTTCTAATTCTCTCAGAATCACTTCGCTGATTAAGTTGAAAAGGTCTGGTGAGAAAATGCATCCGTGTCTTAAACATTTAATTTTTATATATTTACTCAGCTTATTTTCTATCTGCATGCAGTTTATTGAGAGTATACGTTCTAGATTATTTTATAATCTTTCCCAAATATGTCAAGAGATACCTAGAAGATCTAGCAGTACTTTTGGGATGTATTTTATCATATATATATATATATATATATATATATATATATATATATATATATATATATATATATATATGGAATTAGGTAGTAGTCGGCAAACAGGAATAAATGACACCCTGATGTGCAACCAATCTGAAAGTTTTTTCTATTTT